ATTCACTGTGGTTCAATTCGTAATAACAGCTCCCTAGTCCTGTGGTTTAAACAGCATTTTTTTTTTGGCAGGATTTTTTTTTTCGCCATCTCGCATTAGTTTTGGGGTCTTCAGAGGATGTCATCCATAAAATTAAATCAGTGTGGCCTTAGGCTTAACTACAGATTACAGCCCCGAATGGAACCAATTAGGAAATATACCCTGTTCTCAAAGTACACCCTAGGGTAGCATTTCCTATAGAAAAAAAAATGGCCTCAAGGTTCTCGCGCGCGAGGCCCAGTCCGTTCATTCTGACAAACGTTTCCGCTGCACCAACGGGTCGCTGGAAGCTTGTGGTGAGGTGGGCTTTTTTCAACGGACTTTCTGGTAGGTATGATTAGGTAAACAAACTGGTTTGTACAACCCTAATAGTACATCACATAACTACTTCACTTACCAGAAAATCTGTGGAAATAATAAATTCCATTTATTACTCGTTAGGCAGAGTAGCACGCTCACCGGAGGTGGGGAAGCTCCGACGGCTGAAATGTTTCTTTTTTGACACAAAAAGAAAGGTAAAAGAACTGAGAGAAATCTACAAGTACTCACTAACAAGGAGTCTTGTCCCAGGATAAACTACTTAGGCAACTCTTCAGGGACCGGGTACCTCGAGAGTAGATCCCCCAATTTAGGGAGGCTTACTAAAGCCGGTCGACTGAACAATAAAAAATAGGGCCCCAACAATTTTAATGTATCAAAATCAGCGCCAATCGAAACTAGCGACGTCAAGCAAAGGAGGCTGGTTTTCGGCTTTCGTGCATAGGGCCCCTTAGCGGTGCGGGCTGGGTCAACGAACACTGTCTGACCCGTCACCACTGGACCCAACCTGTAGAGAACCTCCTGCAGCGCTTGGAGGCCTCTGATGATCTGATGTTAGCGTCTAATTATTTTTTCTACCATGAAAAAGCCAATAAGACAACTTTAGTCTTAGCTATGGAAATTTAATTGACATGATAACCATACTTTCAACTCTGTTGCTACCTTTAATACTTGGACAAACGCTTGTCCAAGCAACGCGAGTGAAGTCTCGTTCCACGGTTCAACACATCATAAACCCCGCTACCTGAACCCCCAGGTACCAAAACCGGTCCGACAGACCTGTATATACCGCTTGTTATGAATTGAATTTACTGACTCCAATACACCGAAATGCTGAATTGCCAAATGAATCTACCCATCAATCGACCAACTCAAGATTTATTCAACTAGCTTGTGTATATTGCAAAGAACGACATTCATAAATGAACTGTCAAACTATACCATCCCATAAAGACTGCTTGGGATATGTGAAGCGTAACAAACTGTGTTAAGATAACATACACCGTTGTACTGTTGATTTAACTACATCTGATTCTAAACCCACACCTCTGTAGCGAGTATTAATCTCAAGACGGACAAAGCCAGACAAAAAATGACCTCAACAAGAAACAAGATGGAGGCGTCAACCGCAGTTTCATTACCTACTTTGTGAAATGATGCGGTTTAACCATAGACCTTATGTTTTCCAAGGCTGCCTTCTTGAGTGAGCATCACATCTCAAGCAAGTGACCTGGTAATAGCGATATATCTAGCTGCC